CACAAGGATCGTTAAATTTATCAAGTCCTGTTTATAGCTCACAATTTTTATCAAAAAATTTCCTTTCTGTATACTCTATTCTGATCTAGTAGCAAACAAGGAGATTCGTGGGTTCTCAGAAAGAACAGTGCATGGTGAGAAAGGGTCAGTTAACCGTCTTACTGGGCGTACCAGATTCTTCAAATAGTTGAAAAATAAAAGAGCGTGCTAATGCCAAATTTTGCAAAAGTTGTTCGAGAGAAGGATAAGAAATGAGGAAGAAAAGGCGTCGAATTTTCGCTCAAAAGTAGGGAAATTAGACGAACGCGAGGTCTAAATCGGGAATTCGCTATTTCTATGTAGTCAAAAAAATAATAACTGAGCATGTTTTTTCTAAATCTTTAAACGCTAAGTTTCATGCAAAAGCTGGGTGCATCGCTAGTCTAAATTCATTTCAATTCATGTAAGTCCTTTACATGAAAAAAACCGTGCCATAGGTTTCGTTTTGCAGCTCTCCGGTTTGGTGGCAAGTACCACTCATGAGCCACTATTGAACGACCAGATACGGCCTGGGCTCTATTCGGCTCATTATCTTGGCGACGTAGCAACCTATCTGGCAACAGCTGTCGTTGAATTTTCATTAATCGGTTAATTTGCGACATTTTCATTCATCCACATTGGTAGCCTTCCAGTGATCATCGTAACTGCGAAATTTTTACTCTTTATTTAAGACCTGATAATCTGCTGAGCTAAAAATTTTGCAGGCGCCGCGGTAATGTTTATCCTATGGAAATCCATTGACAACGGAACAATTAGCTGTGGTAATGATGCTGGATCGGAACGGGTGAAACGAAAGCATCGAATGAGGGTCGACTGTAGGTAACCACTCCCAACAAATTGTTGCAAAAACTAGACGTTTCCTTGTGAAAGCAATCCAGTATGCGTAACAGTTTCTTTACACTCAGTTTAATTTAGTTATCAAGCATTTTGAGCACAAATGCTTCCAGATTTCATGACTTCTAAAAAAATTCCTGCTCATTCAATTTTTTAATATAATTTTATATATATATCATAATTAATATCTCTATTTTATTCTGGATAGGAACCAAATTCACGTACCAGCATTGACCATCCTGAGTGAAATTCCGCGGTCTCTTGTTTCATCGCTTCTTATTTGAAAAAATAAGAAATCATGATTCAGCTGCATATAAGCTTTTCTCGTTAAGAAAATCGCACTGGTCTGATTTTGGCGATCGTGCCTATTTCTTCAATATTCAGCTCCTCTTCTACTGGATTGTTTGCCGGGATACTATTCCTCATCGTCACATTCATCTCGATTGGCGTGCATTCGGTATTCACTCAGCTAAACAACAGTCGAAGCGCACAGCTTGCGTTTGGCCTAGCAGATTTGGCGCTCTTCGCTACATCCCTCTCAGCCTGCACCATCGGAATATACAGGTCAGCCTGTTTTTCTTCTGTTTTGGATCTAATGTCATCAGTGTAGGTGCGTGGCGATTAAGACACAGAAAACGCAAGTTGAAAAATCGCTCTACACGTTATTGATTCTGCAGTAAGAAGACTGCAAAACTATTTGAGGTCTGTGACATCGCGTAGAATTTCGAAAGAAAAACCAAAATTTTGAACCTTC